GTAGAGGCGGCATTGCCTCGACGGCCTCAACCGGTAGAGGCGATATGGCGTCGATGACCTCGACCGACAGGAGCACGAGGGAGGAGCATGACATCCGGGTGCACAATGCATGGCAAGAGGAGGAGGAACGTGACAAACTGGGTGCACAGGAGGAGCATAATCAAAATGGAGATTTGGCTGCTGTTCTTACTGCAGTCCTACCCACTAGACATTTTCTTACATTTACTTTCAATTTCCATGAAAGGAAAGCTAAGGATAATGACTTTCTCCACACCGATACACACACACAGCCCCAGCATAAAAGATTTCAATACAGACGACAGCACAGTTCCACCCACAATGACATGCTATGCACACAAACTGGTCCAACCCGTTTCACCTCCGTATATCTGTGCCTTGTAGGACACACCTTGTGAGCCATTAAAATGGGTTAGTCTTCATCTCCTGAACTAAAGGACTGGGTTTCCATTTATGAAAACACATTGTTACAGACCAAGAGACTCACAAAATAAATGCAGGATCAGTCTCATGCTGCTTCACTCACTCTGTCACCAACATGTTTAACATCACTTTGGAAACATTGTTGTATTATCATTGGTTTATCACTGACAAACTGCCACACAATGGCAAATAATAAAGAAAGCATGTTCATTTTTACTTGTTCTTTATTCAGGGTAACATGGGGATGGCTGCAACAAAGGACAGTAGTGCCTGTTTCCTCCAGTCAGAAATGTGCTGGAACCATCAAACTCATTTTACACATAAACGGCTGCTAAGTGTGAACTTTCCTTCTGGAGATTCAAACTAGAGATGGATCAGCCTGACAACAGGCTGTTTCCCAGGGCACCAATCCATCTTTAAGAAGCTCAACTGCAGAAGTTAACTTTTCCTTCAAGGCATTTTTCTCCTCTGTACCCCTTTCCTGCTCTCCCAATTTCCTCGACCAATTTCTAGCTTTAATTCACTCTCTCACAATCTCCTCCTCTTTTTCTCATTGTTTC